GTGTATACAAATACCCATCCCCTCCTCCCTCCTCCCCCCTCCTCCCGCCGCCCTTCCCGTGGTACAGATGATTAGGTTAGGTGTGTTGCCCTTGGTTCCCCCCCCCTTAGTTGTAAAATTAGGTTAAATTATTTGAATTTTTTTTTCTTTCTTGATCACTATAAATTTCCCTCTTTGTACTGATTTTTCTGCATCACTTATGTTTTGGTATGTTTGTTTTTCTTTTTGTTTGTCTTGAGATATTTTCTAATTTCCCTTTTGGTTTCTTCTTTACTCCATTGGTTATCAAGAGTATGTTGTTTAAATTCCACAAATTTGTCACCAAGTCCACGCATATAACGTTAACTCTTTTTCAATAAGGTTGCGATAATACATAATGGGGAAAGGTTAGTCTCTGCAAGATGATGTCAGAAAATCTGGATATTTACGTGTGAATGAATTGCATCCTTATCTTATACCATACACAGAAATCAATTGAACATTTATTAAAAATTTAATCATAACACCTGAAACTCTAACACTTGTAAAAGACAAGGCAAAAACTTCATGATATTGCTCTTGGCAATGATTTCTTGGATATGTTACCAAAAGCACAATAAACAAAAGCAAAAATAGGTAAGTAGGACTACATCAAACTGAAAAGTAACAAAAAGAATCAACAGGGTGAAAAGCCAAACTGTGGAATGGAAAAAAATATTTGCAAATCACATATCTGACAAGTAGTTAATATCCAAAATATATAAATAACTCCTACAACTCAATAGCAACAAACAAAAAACCAAACCAAAACAAATGACTTTATTTAGCAATGGGCAAAGACTTGAATAAACATTTCTCTAAAGAACACATACACATGGCCCAGGTATATGAAAAGATACCTCAACATCACTAATTATCACAATAATGGAATTCAGTGTCACAGTACCATTTCACCACTGTTATGATGGTTATTATTATTTAAAAAAAGATATATGTCAACAAAGATGTGGAGAAATGGTGAAGCCACTATGGAAAATGGTATGGGGGTTTTTCCCTTAAAATTAAAAATAGAATTACCATACGGTTCAACAATCGCATTTCTAGGCATATATACAAAAAAAATAATTAAATTCAATATCTCAAAGAGATATGTGTTCTTCCATGTTTACTACAGCATTAGTCACAATAGTCACAATGTGAAAAAAAAACACTTAAA